GTGATACAGAGAAAGAGAGAGAGAGAGAGAGAGAGAGAGAGAGAGAGAGAGAGAGCGCGCGCGCGCGCGCGCGCGCGCACCTACTGATAGCTTTTTCTTCTAAAGCAGTGGGAGAAGCTTGCTCTAGTAACTTGTCAGATCTCTTACATTTTCTTCAAAAGCACAAAAGGCAGAGTTTACAGTTTTAGTACAAAGAAATCTACTGATGTGAACGATAAAGGTGAATCAGCAGATCGCCTGTGCAGGCTTTCTGTATATGTTTTCCAACATGGGCTACAGGGAGATTTATCCACCAAAACAATAATATTAATAGTGATATTAACAATTTGGAAGTGTCCAAATCACCAGTCTGAGAGAAGTACCAGATGTAATTTTAGAATTGACAGAAACTACCTGAGAAACTAAAATGATAATATGGGAGTATGTAAAGGGGGAAATGGAGTTGGAAGACACATCGCAAATAGCCAAGGCAGCAACAGTGTTCATGAGTTTCTACTGGAATGCCTTCAAATACTAGTGATTTCTGCATGGCTCAGGAACATTAAGTCAATGCTTCTGAAGTGTCCGCAGAATTCAGAAACAGACTGTGTGCCTGTGTCTCTTCTTCCGATTCCAGTATGAGAACTGACTGCATGTGCACCCCTCCTTGAGGCATAATTACTGTTATTTTAAGGTTGGTTGTCAAGTCCTTTCCATATAGCTTCTTCCTCTATCATTAGAGTCCCTTTCTTGGGCATGAGAAAAGGTGGATCAGGAGAGAGCACCCCCCCCCCCCAGGGCGCAGTTTTTCAGGACTGACAAGGGTGCTGCTGACCCCGCTGTTCACAGCTGCTGCTCCAGAGACCCTGGGGAAAGGCACTCGGGCTTTTTGGCTCTCACCCTGAGAATTCCACCTCGTTTTACAGTCCAATGTCAAGACACGCACTGAGCAATGTTATACTTCCTGCTGCACATTCTGTCTGGGGCAGTTCAGTTAAAGTTCAGAAGGGGACCAAGGGAGAGTGGGAGAAGAAAACCAGAGAGCTTTCTCATCTGCTGCCTCCCACTTACAGGACAAGACCAGGGAAGTAAACACAGCCATAGATCTGTATTGCCTGGAATGCCCCGACCTCAACAAGCAATTTTCCAATCAGGTGCTGGACTACAACTCCCATAACTCCCAGACCATCCTGCAGGTCACATCCAGCACTCATTTCCTCCAACCACCAATAATGTGGAGGTTTCCTAGCTTCTGTGCCGTTCCCATACCCGTGCGAAAAGAATATAGTGCTGCTCCTAAGGGTCAGGCTGAAATATGGCCGCGTTTTTTAGATTTCTGCTGCCCTGGCCCCTGCAGGCCTCCCACTAGACCACAACCCCAAGAGCCCCTCCACGACTGACCCTGGGCAGGGGAGGCTCTGCACTCTGGCTGGCTGCGCGCTTTCCACAGATTTGCTTTCTACGAATGAAGGCACAGCAGAGATAGCTAAGCGCTTGCATCCTGCTCTCCCTCGCTCAGTCTGCCCATCAATCCAGGGCTGTTTGTAGTCTTCAGACTGTTACACAACATTCAAGGGTTAGCACTGTTCCCATTCCAGATAGCTCCTTAGAGTGGGAATCAATTTGATCCAAGCTAAGTTAACAGTCTCAAACTTAGAGGCCCCTTAGACAGCCTGGTGGACCAGGCAGAGGCAGGGATCCATGGGACAGGCAAAATTTTAAAATGCTACAAAACTGACATCCCCACAAAATTCCTTTCTGCAACAGCTCTCAGCACACAGCCTTGCAGTCTGCACAGACGAGGCTGAGTGTCCAACAGCCTCTGATGCAACCTTAGGTGGGTGCCCAGATAGGACCTTCCAGCAAGCACAAGGCCAAACTCGGCCTTCCTCCTGACAAACAAAAGAATTATGCAAAAGAGCTGCTGCTTCCCCTTTCATCTGAAGACAGAACTGAACAAGAGAACAATCGTGCAAATGAGCTGCAGGTTCACAGTTCTAGAACTGAACTTCCACCTCATATATCGCTCAGTGTGGATTTTTTTTAAGTAAGATCTGCTTCCCAAGAAACTGTCCACCTGCTGGCTTTCAGAATTTATATTTATTTATAATTTCCAATAATATCTTCATCTACTAGGGGACAGATTTAAGACCCCCCCCCAAAAAAAACTGATGGAGCAATGCTAACACAGCAATCTGAGGGTGACCTTTGCAGCTAAAGCTGTTCAAACACATTAATGAACATAACTTAAAAAGTGGGGGGGGGGAATATGAAAAGATTCACCCTCTGACAAAGCATGGACACTTGTCTAAGAGAGGCTGCAGGTCATGGCAACGGGTACAGAGGACCCCCGCATGGTACAGCCAGTAAAAGGAGGCCAGTCATATGCTCAGAGCTTATGGTCCCAGTTTGCACAAGCCGATCTTCCAAATTGCCCCCAGAGGCCGCCTCTCACAGAGCCCGCTGCTACCATCCAACTTGGAGGTTGCCAGCAGACAAACAACGGGTGACAAGTTGTCACTGTGCCAACGGAGGAGTGCCTGGGCCACCGGGCAAGGCGAAGCGGGCGTGAGGAGAATCCCCAGGCTGCAAGCCTGCTCCTTCAACGGGAGTGCAGGGCCATCCAGGACAGGCTGCACTTCCTGCACAGGCCTCCAGCACCTCATCCTGCTATGCAGGGAGACCAGCCCAGGCAGGGAGGGAAACCCCAGAAACCTCCCAGAACCCCACCGCCTCCTGGTCTACTGCAGCTGCGGTCAACCTCGCTTTGCTGGGATCGGGGCAGAGGCAGCTCAGCTGGCCCAGTCCAGCCCCGCTTCAGCCCACACTGTGTGCTCATCCACACAAAATGATCCAGAAATGCCCTTTGGAAACACTGCAGCCGGGGAGCCACAGGGATACTAGGAAAAGGCCAGGGGGTGGGATGCAGAAGGCAAGGGGAATTCAATCCAGACCTCCCTGGAAGGCCACGCCCCCTTCCCCAGGCACCGCACTCTGCCGCCTTCCGGGTTTCTCTCTCACCTGCCTTCAAAGGGCTGCATGTGGCACCTGTGGAAGGCCATGCCAGTTGTTCCCAGACCGGTGGGCTGTGGCCCCTTTGCTAGCAGCAGTGCAAGCGAGGCATCCTGGTCAGACTGCGCCCCCCACCATCCCTGACCACTGGCCCTGCTGGCTGGGACTTATAAGAACTGCAGTCCAAACCAGAAGGCACAAGGCTGCCTACTCTGGTGTAGGGGAACCCCACTAGCACTGCGCAGCAGCGCCAGGGCATGCCAGATTTCCAAGTCAGTTGAAAACATCTCTCTCTTATCTCCATCCAGCTAATTAAGTTAGGAGAGGAGAGCAGCTAATGAGCAGGCTCATTAAACCACGAAAACCATGCTCTGGGCCCCAGTGCAGCTCCTTGCATCAATGGGGTTCAGGAAAAAGTTTAAGGGACCTGACAGTAAAGCTACCAGGACCTCATTAACCGGCCACCACCAGCTACAAGCAACTCCACATGCTGGCAAAGGCCTGGGCGCAGGGGAAGATCTTAACCTGATGCAAAAAGGATGCCCATCCTCCAGCTAGCCCTTAGCAGGGAAGCACTCCACAAATGGGAGCCACCACCAAGAAGCCTCTCCCACCACTGCAAGATGTAGATAATCATCTTGTTTTACTGCTTGCAGTAGGCAGAGTGATTGCAATCGATACTCAGTTTGGCAATCAAGCATGTCAGCATGTTAACTGGAAAAAAAATCCAAGGTCAAATCTGTCCCCAGCCAGCAATGGAGGCAGTTCCCTCCTCAGGATGCACTTGTCCAGTTTTGCTTGACTTCTTAAATCCAAACTAAAGCCAATGGGAAACATCACTGGAGTTACAGCACATTTACTTGGAGGTAAGGCCCATTCTTTTCAGTGGGGCTTACTCACAGGTAAGGGGGCAGGTTTGCTTCCTTACAAATCTCTCTTCCTGGAACTGTCCCTACCACAGGTCATGGGCCAGGCCAGGGCACCCCACAAGGTCATGGTCCACAGTCAAGAGACTGATCTAGTGTCCACTCTCTTACAAACTGGCCCCTTAAAATTTAGCCTTGGCCCCAAGCTGGTGGAATAATTATATGTGGGCTGGTTTGTGTGTGTGTGTGTGTGGGGGGGGTCCTTAACGGCTGGGCCCCTGCTTTGCACACAGAAGGTCTCAGGCTGATCTGTGGCTTCTCCACATGGGGCTGGGTAGAGGTCCTGCCCGGAGAACTGCTGCAGCCAGCCAGAGCCGACAATGGCAGGTCTGATGGCCGAGGCGGGCATGAATCAGTACACACACCTTCCCGTGATTCTTGCCTGAACCATGAGGACTGGAACCTCACGTGGTGTTTAGGGAGAATGGCCAGACCTAAGGAGCAGGCCAGTCGGACTCCGGCCCTCCGGGGGCGTGCAGCGCCGCCCACGACCTCGCAGGAAGAGCCCGGGACAGGAGCGAGGGCAACCAGGTTTCTCGCCGCACGCCTGGACGGCTCTTCCCCGCGTCAGCCGACGCTGCAGGGGCTCCGAGAGGGGTGCAGGTGCGAGCGCGTCGGAAACGAGGGCCGCTCTGCTCGCCGCCCGGCTCCTTTCGGGCGCAGCTGCGTAGTCGACCTCCCCGGTGCTTCCACGCGGGAGCCTTCGCGGCGCAGGGCTCCGGGCGCCGCTCCCGTCCCTTGCCCAGCTTCCCGTGGATCGCCCGCCAGCGGCTCTCCCGCACTCGCCTCTGGCTGCTGGGATGCTTTAAGGCGACCGGAGGGGGGGGTGCTGGCGAGAGATCTCGGGCAGCCCCAGAAAGCCTTGGCGGCCGCCCCGCAACCGAACGCCGCCGGGAGGTACCCCGAGCCCGGGGAGCCGGCTCGCCCGCGCTTTTCCCGCGAAGGAAGCGCCCCCCACCCGCGGCGCTCGGTCGGGCTCTCACCCGGGGGAGCCGTCCAGAGGGCGCCGTCGCCACTGCCCCGAGCCCCGGCCTGGAGCTCGGGCGGGGCCGCCGCGCCTCGGCTCGCCCGCGCGGCCCTCACCTGAGACATCTGCGGGCGGAAATTGATGTCCTTCAGGTCGACGGAGCCGGGCGAGAGGTTGTGCAGCAGCTGGCAGAGCAGCACCCCGTCGCGCAGCGCCTGCGCCAGCTCGAAGACCACGGCCGAGGGCCACACCACGCGGTGGTTGGCCGGCAGCACCTTGCAGTCGATCAGCCAGCGGCCGCACTGGCGCCACTCCTCCATGGCGGCGGCGATGGCGGCCCCGCAGAGGCGCCCCGGACCCGCGGCGCGCCGGCCTCCTCACGCCGCGCAGCCGCGGGCCTGGGCCATGGCGCGGCGGGCGG